CAATCAAAGACCCAGAATTCCCTCCCCAACCCCACCCCCCCACGCACACAGGTTGAGAGTACTCACTTAGGAACTACATGAGATGAAGCTTTTAACTGTCAGTCAGTGGCACACAAAAGCCTTCAACTGGCATAAACAATAAAAATCAGCTTACATGTAAGTACCTTAAATAACGAATCTCAATAAAATAGAGAATGGACCACACCCCGCTAGAAGGTAGTGCTTTAAATCAGTAACATAAAAGCAAATGCCAGCCTGATGTTTCCAGTCCATTCCCATCACCATTTTTACTGGATACATTTTTAAATACCAGAATTCTGATCCTGATTTTGTACCTATTATACAAAAATTATTGCCTACAGCAGCTTGTAAAATGTTCAGGTAAACATCAAGCAACTAAAACATACAATTTATCTACATTTTACACGCTAGTGCTTAAATTTTGTAGGATTTTTAGATGTAGGAGTCCATTACAATGTATATTCTTATAGTCTACTATTTCTTTGTGTCATTTTGTGTCAGTTGCAGGAAATGGCTTTCCCTAGTAAGCACACAGTCTGGAAGTTATGACAGGCAGTACAAAGCAAAGTAAGAGGGGTTACTGAAGAGGATATTCCATATCCAACATGAACACCAACAACTATGCTTCAAGCAAGACTAGCTCTAAGGGAAGCATTTGTCAGATTAAGACTCCTGAACACTCCCATGTGATTTGCTCTTTTTTTAACTGATCAAACCCCCCTAGAACCCCTCCAGAATTCCATTCCCCCTATGGAATTGAATGGATCTGTGATGCACTTCACTTTCCATGGCCCAAACAAAAATCATTAACACATCAGTGACTTTGCTCAATTTCACAACAGAATTCTCTAATTCTGGAGACCACAAAAAGTTGTCATTTCTTGCTTGAATGTGACCAGTTGGATACTGGTCACACTAAAATAACAACACAATACGTAAGCACTCTTCTGAAAACACTTACATGAATGAAAAGCAGTAAAAACCATCCAAAAGATACTGAAGATTTATTAAAGCTCAGACAAATCCACTCATGACATGAATAGATGCTGCAGTAAGAGTGAAAAGGCAATTAGAAAAAATGTGCTGTGTGTAGGCAGAGGGGTACATGTTTGTGATTTTCTAAGTAAACTTAACATACCAGCAACCCAAAGTTCAGCTGCCATTCATAATTTTTCAATGGCCTATGAATTAGGTGAGTGTCACTGAAACCTCCTCTTTAACCCTCTTCAGTGATACCTTATTGAGAAACTCTTCCTGTAGAGTTCCATGATAGGAAGAAGGACGTGGAACATTAGTTTTCTTCACCAGAAAAGCTACTTTCCTTAACTACGAATGCCAATTCTAATCAAAGCTTTTATGCTTTATCATAAGCCAAATTTAAAATGTATGACTTTCAATATTAAAATTTTGCTCTTCACCTTACGCAGTCCTACCATACTTTGTCCTCATTCCCTATACCTTTAAGCAAATTCTGTGGTGTGATGCAGATATTTTGTAATTGTATTATTATGTCCAGACATGCTATTGAAAGAAATTCATTTAGATTCTGGATCACTCCCCTCCCCCCTACATTATGATATTTCCTGGTTTCAAACCCTGGCCAGTGCCCTGGTCCTGACTACACCACACAGTTCCTGGTGTCATCAGCAAGTTTGCTGAAGGTGCACTCAGTCCCACTGTCCATGTCACCGACAAAGGTGTTGAATAATGCTGGTCTCAACACTGATCCCTGAGGATCACCACTTGTCACTGGTCTGCATTTAGACATCAATTCATTGACCACAACTCTGAGTGTGACCATCCAGCCAAGTGATCCATCCATCAAATCCACACCTCTCTACTTTAGAGACAATGATCTTGTGCGGGACAGAGTCAAACACTTTGCACAAATTCATGTAGATGACAATCAGTCACTCTTCCCTTAACCAAATTAAGTCAGCAACTCACCTGAGTAAGGGCTAAGTTTTCAAAGAGAAACTTTCTAAGTTTCAGGAAGACCTTGGCCCTCTTAGCCAGTTAGCACAGGAAAATTTTTAGCAGCTCTATGTTGTTGTTTTTGTAAACTAACCTATGAAACTTTGCAGTTCCCTTCAATCACGTCACCAAGTCACTGGTACGGCATTTTTAGCAAAAGTCTGTTGTAGAAGCCAAACTCTTCAGACTATTTTCTTCTCCAAGTCATCACATGGATTAACAGATTGAAGCAGTTTTGTCTAGTAACACAACAGATTCTGTTGGAACTTTTAATTTTTGACAGCCTTGAAGAATTTCAAACTGTATTTTTAATCTCAGACTTACTAGCAAGCCAAAAGCTCACTCATTACACTCATTACACTCATTACAGTACCACAGCACTTTCACAGTCCATGTATAAAGAAAAAAGCTATTTATTAGACTTGTTTTCTGTAGTCTGGACAAGCAATACGGAAAGTGACAAAGCGCCTTTGCTTTGCAGAAACAGAGTGAAAGGAAAATTAAAACAAGGCATAAAACAAAGAAAGGATGTGTATAATAACAGGCACAAGTTTGTTTTTCTTTGTGCTAAAAATAGAGCACAATACTCATCTTTGTGTAAGGAGTACCCCCCAAAGCCTGGAAATAACAGAGGTAGAGAATATCACCGTAATTAGAACTCTGATTTTTAGTTCTTTATCTAGATTCACTTTCTCCTAATATTACTTTCTTCAGAAACTGAGCCCACTCCCAGCAAAAAAATCAAACAGAAATGCTGTTAAACAGACATTGTAACAGAGAAATGATCAGCTACCACAGTTAAAAGCACCATTATGAAAAATGTGAGATATCAAAGCTAAGAATTTTGACAACTAAACCTTCACGATCTATCTTTGAAGCTTATGAATTTCCAGCTCTCATAAAAGGCTGAACAACTTTATACAATAATGTTTCCTAGCCAGAAAACATAACATTGCCTGCAGTTACTTGGAACGTACAATAATTAGGGACAAAGAGAAAACAGTGCACATCCAGTGCAGTTCAGCTTGGGAGTTTTCTTGCCAGAATTGCCATTCACTTAACCAAATTAAATGTGCTGTTTGTATTGTGTCATATCATTATACTAAAATAAAACCCTGAATAAAATTTCTAACAAGACTGACATGTGGCAAAAATAGTCTGATCTAAATCCAGCATGCTTTCACATTAGGATTCTTTGTACTGTGCATTATAGCACGCTACTACTGCAAATATATGAGTATGGGAGTTTCCCCATCACCAAAACTGCTTGCAGGATAAAGGCTCATCTATAAATGCATCAGAAGTATCTCATAAATTATCAAAATCCTATCAAGACAACGTCAGAGAACCTCAGGATACATTTCCAGATAGAATATAGAAATAAATATGCTATGATTTTAGATGGTTTCTGAAAGCACCTCCAGACATAAGTTGTGATGTACAAAAGAAATTAAATGTGCTGACTTAGAAGACAAAATACAGTATTTCTAATACTAAGGCATACTAAGGCACTTTCATGCAAGAAAAATTCAAGAACTAAAATTTAACTAACATGAGTTCTGTCCAACACAGATAATTTAACTTCTTTCTCAGTGAATAAAATACTATACACACTGCTCTGTATGTTGTTAATAATAACTTACTAGTACTAAACATCCTCTCTTCCTACCCACAACATCTTCCTTGGTGCATCTTGGGATTATGTTTTCCTTTCTCACACCCAAATCACAGCAGTGAGTCAGTTTTGTTATGGATTACTACAGTCAAGTGTTTTTCCCCTTATGTCACTCCCAATTTATAAGCCCCATTTTTAAAGAAATTGCTATCAACTGCGTGACTTTGCACTTCATAGTACAAGATCTCTACCTGGTTCTGTTGTCATATTTTCAAGGCGATCTAGCTCGTAGTGTTTAACATTTTGCTCTCTGCAGTATTAGCAAATGTCTCCCAAATTTTGACAGGCTTTTATCTTTCCTGCTTCTTTAATGAAAACAAGAAAACAAGATTAGAAAAAAAAACAGTTGCCGAGGAACTCCATCAGTAAACTCTCTCCATTCAAAGTTTCTTTTCCAACACAATCAACCGTAACCTCTCATTTGTCCAGTCCATCAAAACTTGACTTTTTTTTCTACCAATGTCCTTTTTTTTCTAGTTTAGGAATAATTAATTACATAATTTTCAGATAACTAAAAGAGTCTGAAGTCTTACCAGAATGAAACACCAGGCCTGCATGTCACAATGCGTTTTTATAAGCTTCTGCTTTATTTTACTTCTTTTTCCTTTACTCAAGCAATTTCTCTACATTTATGTTTTTCCTTCTAAGCTCATAATGTTGATGAGAACACAGCTCACTTTGCCCCCACTTTCTTAAATACAGACAGCATCCCATGTAGTTAACAGACATTTCCAAAAATGCTATCCTATATGTACCAAGCTATTTCATCTAAAAACAAAACCACCAAAAACACTGCAACTGGAACAAGACCATTTCATCTTGCCTTTTTAGAGAAAAAGCATCATGTATTATGCGTTATGTCATTTTAAGCAGTAACCTAAGTTTCCAAGCAGAATTATAACCCTGAATAAAATGGTTATTTTAGTGTAATGAAGCATGCTCAACAATTACTAGCAAATGCACATTAGTAAGATATGCCCTGCAGAGTTAATAGCCTATGAATGAGCTTGCCTGCGCAAGCACTAACATTGTAAAGTCACACCACCTGTGCTGGGTTCTTAAAATACTTATGCATTTTATAAGGGCACATAGTAATGAGATCAAGATTTCCTGTGTAATTGTTATTGCTCAAATAGATGGACTTGGAGGCACATTTAGACCATCTCAAATTTTGAAAGAAACCACTATTTAGACCCAAAATGTACAGTTTAAACCCACCTGGAGTAGGCAGCAATTACACACAGCTAAAGTTTCAGTCTTACTAATTTACTCTGTCTTATAAACTGTGTTTCACTAGTAACTTCTTCCATCCTTACAAATCTCATTTCAGAGGCACTGGAATCGCAGAGTCAGCACACTAGGACAAAGAAAGATCACCAAAACTTTGCAACCAAATTTCGACTCTATGCAGATGCAACTAAAGAAGACTGTCGGATTTTTTATAACCAGTTGGAGACTCTTGATAAATGCAGTTTCAATGCCTCTCTTCCTCTGGTGATAATAGTCCATGGCTGGTCGGTATGCACTCACATTTTACGTTTAATTCAAACTACATGTGATTTGATATACTTTCCTTCTCTTCATGCTTCTGCCAAAAGTAACTTCAGAAGAATGGTGGATTCCCCTGGTAGCAAACATGGCTAGAAATAATATAAAGAGGATATTCGCCACCACAATTCTGAAGGAAATCTACAGACAATTTTTCTTATGGGAGTCCCATGCCAAGAATTAGGGTCAGCCCCAATTTAAAGCAGAGCTCAAACAAGCTGAATTAACGTGCTATGCTTCTAGAGGACTAAATACCAGATTCATTTCTCTGGTATGTTCACTGCCATACATTTACACACTTAATGGAAAGTGCACATAATCTCCCCACATTTTTCTCACAGATACACCTTTAAAGAGAGTTTCTCACTAAGCCACTTCAGCTGAAAATGAAACCTTCATTGTCAATGAATTATCACTGAACTGCTTCCAGTTAAACTGTAAAAAAGGAAAAAATCCCCCATGAAAACCTTTCTCAAAAGCCTAGCATTAGCACTGCTGTACTAATGGGACCTTTGATCAGCTGCTTCTCAGCTGCTGAAACAAAAGGCAGGATAAGAAATAACATCATTTAAACAGATCCTTGATTCACATAGAACCCATGCCATCACAACAAGGGAGCAAAATGGGATCTTTTTCTGAACATCTGCAAATACACAAAGAAACTCTGGAAAACACCCTTGATGCATAGAACTTCCCTGACAAAAAAAACCAGCAGAGCTGACTTTGGATGAAATATTGCCCTAGATTATTTTAGCCAAATCTCTCAAAACAGAATTTGTTCAAAATCTAGACCATCCTCAAAGACAAAAAACATGTACATGAGTGCATCTGCTGCCATTCACATTAACCTAGTTTGCAGACATGTCAGGCTCCTAGAGGAACACATATGGAGACCTAGAAGTGCAACTCCCAAATTCTGTTAAAACACCAGAAGAGATAAGGATGTTCTATCAGTTGAGGAAATTGATGCAAGAGCAATCATCAGGGACTGCAGGTGGTAGGAAAAAGGGTAATGGGTTTAAACTTAAACAGGGGAAGTTCAGGTTAGAGGTAAAGGAGAAGTTCTTCACTGTGAGGGTGGTGAGCCACTGGAACAAGCTGTCCAAAGAAGTGGTAAATGCTCCATTCCTGGTAGTCTTCAAGGCCAGGCTAGACAGAGCTTTGGGCAACATGGTCTAGTGTGAAGAGTCCCTGCCCATGGCAGGGGATTGGAACTGCATGATCTTAAGGTCCTTTCCAACCCTAACTATTCTATGATTCTATGAATTCTGAATAATTCTGGTCCACCAAACCTCAGAATGGAACAGCTGTAGAAGTAAATGCCTGCTGGTCTGCATTCCTCCAGGTTCCCTCCTTCTCCAACCCTGTTAATTTAAATATACGGGGGACATCTGTTCTTGAATGAAATCAGAAATTTTCTGGGCATTTCTGTCTTTCTTTTTAATCAGTAAATCAGCAATACCAATGATCTCAGGATGAGTGTAAATATTCTGGGACATCATTTCACCGATAACAGTTCATATTACAAGACAAGTTATTATACACTTATATTCTATTTTTTTTGTCCACCAAAATCTAAAGACTCTCAGCACTGAAGCATGCTGTAGCCCCCAAAATCTAGTTATCAGCATACACCCTCCTTCTTTATATTATGGTTTTTGTTTCCTTGAGCTTTCAACAAGAACTATTTGGCAGAGACTGCTTTACAGTAAGAATAGGTGTTTTTTGTTTGGTTCTTTTTTTAATAAAACAGGTGGATGGAATATTAGAAAGCTGGATTTGGAAAATGGCAGCAGCTCTGAAGTCTCAGCAAAAACAAATTAATGTGATCGTTGCAGACTGGCTTGTGTCTGCTCACCAGCACTACCCCATTGCTGTACAGAATACACGCTACATAGGACAGGAGATAGCCGACTTCCTGGAATGGCTGGAGGTAAGAGCCACCCATGTTTCTCTGGAAAAGACCTATTTATCTGTTCTTATGCTTCTGCCACCTTTCTGAAATACTATGCTGATTAACGATGTTCTTTTCAATACCTTATATTTCTTTAATATATTGAAAGTTTTCCTTCCATAAACTTCATAAAACTTCCATTATGCAAGAGAAAAAAAAGCAAGTGCTCTTGCTTATTAAAATGTTTTTTATATATCTTTAGAGGTGAGAGAGCTTCATGCTATTTTAGCTTTTCAGTTAGTATGTGTCCAGACAGCTGAGAGTCCCACACTTTGAAAGCATACACACATAATCATTTGGAAGTGGTTATTCAGTAAAATGGGGCATGTTATCTGTGCTTTTATCTTTTGCTTTTAACGCAGAATTCAAGAATGCCACTGTGTCTGATTTTTGCCTCAGCTCCTCAAAGATTATTCTAAAATAATTGCTTAGAGATCCAAAATGTAAAGAGAGACCTTTCAAGCAGACAGACATGCCACACAAACAAGACGACAGGAAAGGAGCAGCGAGTATAGGGCCATGTTAACATAGTGACTACTTATCAAAACTACTACATAGGGAGCATCTGCCATGGCTAGATTGAAAAGGCTGCAGACAAGTCTGCAAGGGATCGCTGGTCTCCAACACTATTCAAGAAAACGCAGAAAGCAAACACTAGAATGAGAATCACTCATACAAACCAGGCAAATCTTATTTCCTTTATCTCCAGTAATAATTTGTTACCTAATTTGAAATTAAATTATACTTCTGGACCTCATAATGATGTTTTTAATACATTAATTTGAATATGGTGAGGCCTAAGGTGAAAGGGAAGTACACTGCAAAGCCAAAAGATTTGTAGCAAATACTGTTGAATGGCTAAGCTGCTTTCAAAAGGAATGGCAGGACTAGAAGAAGCTGTCAGGTACCATGCCCACTTAAGGACAACAGGCACAGAAGAGAAGGCAGAAGAGCCAGAGTCACTATTTTTGTGTTGTGACATTAAAACAAACCTTAGTTCTTGGTCAAATGTAGTTTGAGCCTAAAGCCGTATTTTGAAGCTGTTTAATTATTGAATGAATGAAATGGTGGACTTTGTTCAGTTCCCAGGAGGACACACCACGTTGTCAACAATTAAAGGCAGTCTGTGATTTCTCCAGTGTCAGCAAACAAACTGAGGTCTGAATAAACAATTCCTTGCTCCAGCACTGTAGGTAGCTTCTCTTGTACCACATATACCACAAATTTTCACATCATTCAACTGAGTGCGTTCAAGCTGTACACCTTCCTTTTGTTGAAAAGCACCCCTCATGTGTTTAACAGTGAAAAGCCCCTTCATTCTAACTGAACTGTTCTAACTAGATAGTTATGCTTCTGTCTGCTTACAGGCTGGCAAGAATTTGGAATATCCTCAGTGCCTGTAACAAAAACTGTGCAACATTTTAATAAAGAATAAAATCAAACTAAATCTCAGTGCTCTTACTCCAAGAGTTAGTAGGGGAACTCTTTACAAGTCAGAAAAACTTTTGAGCCTTGCAGCTCACATGAAATGCTTAAGATCTAGGTAGTATTAATTAGGTAAGAAGACAAGCTCGAGTACGATTCTGCTTCAGTAGGTTGGTTTCATATCTGATATCTAGTTTTGTACAAACCAATTCAAGAAACGCCATTTCTGTATCACAGCATGTCTGATCAATGTTTTCTTACGTTGGCTTGCGCTAATGTCTCAGGCAAAAAAAGCAAGGCATTTTCTATGAAGGATTGTTTTACACTGAAGTTAAAGGACAGATACCCATTTTATACTCATCGGAAAGCTAAATGCTGCAGACAAAAGGCAATGCACTTCTGCACCACTTGCAACAAACAGCACCAAAAATCCTGCTATCTGCGTTGATGGTTTTCCAGAAAACAGCAAGTGAGTAGCAGTGCTCAAATGTGTGGTGTTTTCCTGCTGCATGAAAAGGAGGCAAGGAATAACATTCGAACAGGGGAAATAATCAATGCATGATCCACATGCCACATTTGACTTCCATCATGAGCATACACATTTCCTGTGTTGTAATTCATGGTATTCCTAGCTTGTAGTAAAGTATTTCACTGTCTACATTTCACATTTTCTGCATCTAAATCAAGCTGCCACTGTTTTCCAGGAATCCATTCAGTTTTCCAGAAGTAATGCTCATCTAATTGGGTACAGCCTAGGAGCTCATGTTTCAGGATTTGCTGGAAGTTTTATCAGTGGTACGAACAAGATTGGAAGAATTACAGGTAAGAGACATAATTTGAAGAAATGTAACAGTCAGTGGATTTAAGTTACACAGATATCTGACATATCAATATCATATCAAAGTTTAGTTGTTGAATAGCAGTATTTGACACAGTTTAGAAGATTCAACCCACTGCTTTAGAAATTAAGAATTAGGAAATTTAATTAAACACTTTTCAAAATGAAGTATCACCATATGTTGTATCCCTAATAGATGCTTAAATTAAACAAAGTTAGCACTTGATTGTTTTCACACAGGCAAATACACATGACTAGTTTGAAGTTCCAATTCTGATCTTGGATTCATTGCCACATATCACAGCTCCTTATACAACAGCTCTTGTGACAGTGCCTGCATGCCAAGAAGCTGATTTTCCACTATGTGGTATATTACACCTGTGTGCACACTGAAGGACTTCAGTTCATCAGTGCTGCTTGTTCAAAGCATATTAGTATATCAAACCTCAATAATAAGTAGAAAACATTTAACTACATTAGAACATATTTTGTGTAACATCTATATGCATTCTTCAGTACAAATTACTCAGACTTTTAACAATAAGTTTGAATATTTTATAGTGTAAAAGCTATTAAAAATAAAAGTAATTGCATGCCTCGAGGGTGACATGCCTGCTTGTAGCCTGTGTTAATAGTCTTGTCCAGTTACGTCTATGCAACTACGTTAGTCCATAATACCAACTTTAGAAGCTTTGTTCTCAAAACTGAAAGCAGCTTTAAGCCATGCAGGCAGCCTTTCTCCATAAATCAGTTCCTAACAAAAAAGAGCACCATGCAAAAATATCTTGTACACTGGAAGTCAGTATGACTCCCTCAGTGGTATATTATTTTTCTAAATACTGCAATAATTTGCCTTGAAGGCTTTTAAGCTGAACAATTATTAGAAAAAATGCCTAGCAGACATACAGTCTCTCAAGCAGTAAGTGAAGCTTTATAAAGTTTCAGGTCCTAAATGTGGGCTAAAAGTCATCCTTGTGGGACTGGTATCTTCAAAAGGGCCTCTGAAATGCATGACCTCTAGAGTATGAAAACAAAATTAAGTAAACATCCCTCAGGTAATACGGCAGGAGCAGCATGGTTCACCTATAACAAACAAATCGATCTCTGGGCCTGTGTCCTTGTGCATGCAGCAGTTACTGCTTATTACAGTGCCCGTGTTTACCTTTTGGTGTGATCTTGTACCCTCTGCAGGACAAGTGCTCCTGGCATTGTTTCTATGGTGAAAGACCTTGTAAAGTACCAGTGCTGTCTTTTTTTAAATACTTATCACAGGCTTTTCTCATAACAGTAAAAGAACAGCCTACCTGCACTACATCACAACTGGATTATTTGCATTTATTGCAGGCCTTGACCCTGCTGGTCCCTTGTTTGAAGGCATGTCACCAACCGACCGGTTATCTCCAGATGATGCAAACTTCGTAGATGCGATTCATACATTCACTAAACAGCATATGGGTCTCAGTGTTGGCATCAAGCAGCCTGTGGCTCATTTTGACTTTTACCCCAATGGAGGCACCTTTCAACCTGGCTGTCACATTATGCATGTGTATAATCACATTGCAGAATACGGAATCACTGGTAAGAATCAATGGCACAAAACGGGAAGAAGCATTGCAGCTGCACTGACGGTATCTTTGGGAAACTTTACAGATCTCTATGGTCTTAAACAGTATCTAGTGGGAGCATTACCTTCCATTATATGCAAGAAATTTCTTTTCTAAAATTTGGTTATCTGCTTTTTACACGTATTGAGTTCAAACTGTTCTTACTGACTCCAGTAACGAATTTGGCTGCCTAGTGCTTCAGAAAATGAGGCCACAAGCATCCTGCTGTCAAGCACTTCTGAATAATTTCAAAGGTATTTGTTTTAGCAGTAGAGGAAATGAGAAAAATTATTCTAATTAAGCCAGATTAATCTAGTGTGCAATTAATTATTTCAAATCAAATAAAACACAGGGCTGTACTACTCACCTCCTTAGTTCACGTTTTCACAACTCCATGTCCTTCAGGTGCACAGATGAGGCTTTCTCTAGGACTTGACTGCCAGTGTTTGAGGCTGGGTTTTATATACTGAAGCTTATTTCCAATGTACCTAAACATAAACATATAGAGAAACTGATACAACATACTGAAAAAGGTACTGATGCAACTATCAACACAGTCTAAGAGTAGACTTGATAGCACCTATTCATAACAAATGTGAAACCAAGCACCAGTTAAAAAGTTTATCAGTGAAAACATGTCAAAACAGCCCATCATGATATATCTTAATTGCACAGAAGGAAACTTTCGTAATTTGTTGACACAGAAGAAAAAGTTACCTCTCATAAAATCAGATCTATGTATTTAATATTTTAATGTTTTTAACACTTTTTTTGGTCATTTCCCCTCAGTAGTTGCTGAAAACAAAATTCAGTTCAACATGAGTTTGTCACTCTGATAGGGACAAAAGATGACAGTGGGTAAGCATCCAACAGACAACACTGTTCAACCATTCAGAATGAGACTGCTGCCTCTAATGGGGCATGATCTGAAAGACTGCATACAGCCTTAAATTGTATTTCATATTGACTATAACAGCCAGGACAATGAAATCAAGGTTCATATTTACAGTCTTAAACAGGCTAGAGAAGTTTAAGCAAATTACTCAATTTTGTTACCAGGTGGCTTCAGCCAAACTATTTTTGAATGATCCTAAAAGTAAAGTTGCTACAATCTACCATTTCTGAGGCAAAATCTTGATGTAAAGGGCTGGGGGATGGGGAGAAGGAAAAAATAATTATGTGAAGGGTAGTAAAAGGGCATGGGGGGAACAATAACGTATTGCTTACAGCTGGTTACTGTACTCCTCTGCAGTTGAAATGTGGGAACAAGGAAGAGGAAAGAGGCACAAGGGTATGAAAAATTTTGTTGTTTGCATTTTTGCAGGCATTGCTCAAACTGTGAAATGTGCTCATGAGAGGTCAGTTCATTTGTTCATCGACTCTCTGCTTCACAATGACAAGCAGAGCACAGCGTACTGGTGCAATGACATCAACACTTTCAACAAGGGAATGTGTCTCAGCTGTAGAAAGAACCGGTGCAACACACTGGGCTACAACATCAGGGAGGAACGGCTCCCGAAAAGCAGACGTCTCTTTCTGAAAACAAGAGCTCGTATGCCTTTCAAAGGTTTGTGGGAATATTTGTTTCAGTGTCCAGATCACAGAGTGCGAAAATGAGCCTAAGCTTTGGGATCCTGTTTACTCATTTATTAAAGCTTATAAAAGTCCATGGGAATAATAAATTTGCTGAGATAACTAAGGATCCCCATAGGCCATGTTGATGCCTCTTCATCAAGATCCTGACAATGTTTCTGTGGGGAAAAGCATGCTGCATACTTGCCACAGGCTGGCTAACTGTGGATCTGAGGCTTTGGGGATGCTTTGGGTCCTGATCTACAGGATCTTCCTGCAACTGGCCTGTGTGAATTTGTGATCAGATACGCAGGTATACAGCCAAGCCAAAAAAAGCAGCAGGATTGCTTTGGGAGGCCTCTAAACCAGCCTGTTCCAAGTATGCCCAAATTTTACCTGCAATTAGTCTACAAGGTGACATACTACTTTTCAAACAATGGACAGAAAACATAACATGGACTTTTACAGGGCAGAAGAGCAGCACTAAAACTGTGACCTTAAGTCCATTAAATTACCTTATGAAGAGCACAAAATGACAACTTTCAAAGTTCAGAGAGACCATCAGTGTGGCTTCCTGCACATATTACCAGAAGGAAAGCACTGTGACAGGGAAACGAGGCCTGTCTGCCAGCCTCCATTACAAAATGGTGCAGGCCTGGCTATAGGCTGATTGTGCCTCAGCTGTCAGAGACTGAAGACAACTGCTGCTGACGAGCAAACATTCACCTCCTAGTGGAAAGTTTTGCGTGCCATTTCAAGCAAGAACAAGCAGGACTGCACGGGATGAACGGCAGGGACTTCTTCCAAGGGGCTTTCAGTGCAGGCACTTCTGGTGCATGGTGTTCCCCCTCACTACCTCCTTCCCCGGCTCCCGAGGCGGCACACGCAGGGCAGAGCCCAGGCGGGGGCCCCGCTCAGGGCCGCGGGCCTCCACAGACGGAGGAGGCTTGAGAGCAGTTCCCACCTCCTCACTGCGCTCCCGGGCACACACTGCACCACAGCCCTACTCTCACCTCAGCACTGCAGCACCAGAGCCCTGCCTGCCCGCGGGCTCCCTCAGCAGCCATGGAGGCCCCGCACCACTGCACTCACCGGCCTGTTGTGCCTGGCACAGCCAGAAAGCGGGTGCTTCTCTCCTCTTGGAGCGGGTCAGCCCTCTTGTCCCTTACCCAAGATGCTGGGGTTGGGGAAGCATTTTGAATGTCAGTAGTGCGCCCCGGCATGGACACTGAGGAGCTTTCCGGTCCTGGGGAAAAAAGCTTAAAAGTGTTGCTTGCATTACACATCTTGTTTCCTCGCAGTGCCTGGTACTCAGCTGCAATAGCACAGATTAAAAAACCCACACGAATTCAGGTACTTTTAAAATAATTTTGAAGTCTTCCACTAACGCAGCTGTGAAGTACTCAAGTGATGACTCCAGAGGGATCTCCTCAGCCCTCAAGGATACTCAAGGCAGCTGAATCTGCTGGATCTCATCTTATACTTTAAAAAACGCTTCAGGAAGCGACTTTAAGTACATTTTTAAAATGCCATCGGCTGTGCCTAGCTCCCAGTGTGACTTTGCTGCAGTACAGTCAGGTCACCGCCAGAATGAGGAAGGTGAATTGCTCTGAGGGCACCACGCCTGGGCACAGAAACACGATCCCTATGTTGTGTTCTTCGGTGCAGAGATAGTTTCAGCTTGTGGTAAAATAGCTGTGTCTTGCTGGCTTTGATTTCAATTTAAACATGTTGCATTTTGATGCCTGGAACTGCTTTGCTTCAAAAAACCATCCTTGCTGCATACACAGATACTGGTGCTCCAGACAATAGCCTCCTTTCACAAAGGTTCCCAAACAAGGCGGCAACTGTGGGAGGGTGCAGACAAAGTCATCTTTGTAATGCTCTTAAAAAAAAAAATAAGTTTGAAGATCATGTGAAAAGCCCAAACAGAAGAAACTTCAGAAAAATCAGCATTATCCTTCACAGTCCTCCGCGCCCTCACAAAATCTGCTGTTTCATTTTTCAGGTTAATGGCATTATATTCTGGAGTGCACTTTAATCCAGTTCAAACAAAAAACATTTGTTACAAAGAAGTTAACATTTATAATAAAGCTCTGATGGGACCCTGAGTCAGAGTTTTTATGCGAACATGCTCTCCTTTTTCCCCGAGAGTGAGTGTCACAACCACAGCAAAAGCCTGGGCTTTATCAGAACATACACTAGAATAATCCATTTTTACATTGAGGGAAACCTCAGGAAAGACAGTTTAGTAATAAAAGTGACCTATAAACAAGCCTCTGCCTGCTTTGTCTTCATCAGGTTTGCAGCAAAGAAGCAGCCATTTTGTTTGCTGGCACCTTTTCTAAGGAAAATACATTTTTCACTGACATTAACTAGGAAACACCACAAAAAGTTACAGCTTTTCCAGCAAATGCCTTCCATTGTGAACAGAGAGCTACACACACACACAAAACAAATGAATCTGTGCACGTACGTAAAAAGATTCCTCTTAGCAGTATGGTGGATCCACTCTCAGATGTAGGGAAGCTGGAAGTGGGTGAGGAGAGGAAATGAGCAAGAGCATCTTTCTACTCAAAAATCAGTATTTTACAAGGACAGTTTCCCGTGCGTAATTTGACCAGATTGCAAGGGTAAATGCAAACAACTTTCTTTCAAATACTCTGTGATCTTTGTTAATAGAAGTTACTTAAGGTTTTCTTCCTTAACACCTAAATTCCTAGCTGATAATATCTCCGTGCACATGGCCTCTAACTCTTAGGATTTGGTTGTTGGGGTTTGTTTGGTTTTTTCATGATTTGCTGATGTCAAGCTGCTCACAACCAGACCACTGAAGATATAATTCTTCATTCTGACAATACTCAGTTCAAACACTTCCCTAAACACTGTTCTTCTAGAAACCCACCAAATCGCAAAGTATTAATGATATCTTTCTTACAGTAATGTGCTTGAACAAAGTCACATTGTTAACATATGCATGTTAAGCACAATGTATTATTATGCAGTCAAAGAAAGTTTGCGAGTCATCTGTTTCACAAGACAATTTTCCAGCTGATCAGTGAAGAGGCCTGACTACATTGCATAAATTCTTCAATCTGTGTCATACATCTCTAGCTATGTCCAGTCATAAGAATTTGTCTGGTGATTACATTAAGAGAGCTTGCCAGAAATTCTAACAATTAAACTTAAGAAAAGCTGAAATATTTCCCATGGAAGAATGTTTTATCTACAAAGGCAACTCAACCAGGTTACCTTTTTCCTTTTTTTCTCCATCCTTTTAAATAGAGCAACAGATCTCCAAACTCTAAGGGATACACAGCACAGCAACAATCACAACAACAACAAAAAAGGATTTAATTGCAACACATCTGTCTAAAAAATAAAATACCGTATCAATCCAATTTTATTTTGCCTGAGAAATCTATTGCTTCTTTGACTATTAATTTTATCGCTTTGCAAATTCTTCTTTTCTACAGTCTATCATTACCAGTTCAAGATCCACTTCATCAATGAAATCCCAGGCAAGCATTTAGAGCCAACTTTTGCCATGTCTCTGACAGGCACTAAGGAGGATGCTAAAAACTTGCCCATCACACTGTGAGTATTGATATTACACATCACTATGCAAGTGAGAAAGAAGGTGCCAATTTATTACACTCTCACGTATGTAAATTGCTATGTGTGAAATGGTTTAGTACAGGTAAGTGAAGATGAACTGGAAATTGTCTTCTCTTCACCCATGTTCCCTAAAAATCACAAACTTTTATAATGTTCATACTGGTTTTGCGTGAAAGATCTCTATAAACCGAACTTAGTAATCTTGGAAGTTTCCCTGAATGCTAAGTATCCTGTCCACTTATATCTGGTCCATCCCATGGGTAACAGAGGGAGATCTAATAAATTAAAACACAAATAAATAAGCAGCTATAATTAAGATAAATAATTTTGGATATTTCTTATGATAGACACCATATGCATTAACAAAAGCGAAGGCAACAGAGTGGGTCAGAATTTGCTCTAGCAAACAAAAGATACAACATAGATGTTATTATGGGACACCTTTTCTTTTGTTGTCAGAAACCCTAACTGCTTCACCAGCTGTTTAGGATTCTCCCACTTCTTTTTCAGCATGTTGCCATATTTCGCCATTTTATGCACGTGGAGTAGAGTATCCTAGAGACAGTAAGGGTCCCTTTTGGAGAAGGAGGAGGAAACATAGTTCCTTCTTTGGTTTCAAAAAGAGAGCAAACTAATTGTTTGGGGTTTTTTTCACTTTAACCATAATAATTAAGATGGCATTATTCTGGTTTTGTCTTCTGCAGAGCTGAAAGTATAAATGGGAATAAAACCTACTCTATTCTCATCACCCTGGACACTGATATTGGTGAGGTAATAATGATCAAGTTAAAATGGGAAGGAACTGCAGTTTGGGAAAATCTCTGGGACACAGTTCAAACCATAATGACATGGACAAAAGGCACCCGTCAACCAGGCCTTATAGTGAAGACAATAAGAGTAAAAGCAGGGGAAACACAGCAAAAGTAAGTGTACTGAAAGTACAATTTTTTTCTGTAATAACACCCTAGATATTTGGCACACAGGTTATTTTCATTCAAATGCAAGCATCTGAGTCCCAGCACTCTCACCAATGGTGAATTTATCCATGTACAATGACTGACATTACCCCCTCCTATCAGAATGCATGATTTTCAAGTGATTTAAATAGTTACTTTGGTTTTAGGTCAGAAATTAATAGTAGGAAATGTTCAGGCTCACCATCTGAGTTTAAGGCACAGTAGCCTTGGGTGGTAGTTTTGCTGATACATGGGTATATAAGATAGAGGAGTCAGCATACATATCCAAGGAAGAATTTTAACAAGTTCTGCAATGAAGCTTTTCCACACAATTAATTACAATAGCTGATAACAATTTGTGACTTACTTTCAGAACATGATTATCTCACTCCATAAGGAACATATGAAATTTCAAAGAAACAAGATGCTTTGTAAGATAAATATTGGCTCCAACATTAATGTGATGAAAAATTCAAATTCCTACTTACAAAAAATATGCTAAATATTAATTACTTGACTTTCAGTATGTAATTAATAGAGAAACTCAGCATCTCCATTCTTGAAAGTATTCACTGAAAGATCAAATCTGGAACTACACAGTTATCTCATTATTCATTGAAGTTAAGGGTTCAAAATTCCCTTATTTTTATCTCATCCATACAAGAGCCAGTCCAGTGTTTGATAGCTGATAAGGAATTACTGCAGGGTGGAGGCTGTGTAACAGGTTCCTGAGATGATACATTGTGGAAGCAAAGCTTCAGCTACAGACAGTTTGAAATTCCTGTGGCAGGTGAGCAGAACGTGAGCAGTCCTTGAAAACAAGAAGACTGTACGTACTTCTGCATATCATACTTTCACTGGCATTTGACACCAATTTTTGCACTGTAGTTCTTTTTTAAACAGTGTGGATTCAGTGATGTGACTTTTGGTAGCTGATCTCTGAAGTAGCACTAGAAATGAGTTTTCTGAAGAAAAAAAACAGTATGAATGCAAACAAGTTCGTGTCTGGTTTGGGATTTTTCTTTTTGGGAGGGTAGGGTGTGAGGGTGTGTGGTAGTGTTCATTTTTCCTTTTTCCCTGCTGATTGCTTTGAAACTGGATCACCAAGTCTGAGTGGCTCTGTTCCCTACATACAGCAATGCTAATAACACTTTTGCTTATTCACTCAAAGAAATTTCTGCCAGAAGACAGAATAACAAGAATCATAATGATTTCCACTGCTTTAATCCTTGGAGAATTTTAACTGAGCAGTTTAATTAAGGTTAATGAGAAAAGCATGTCTTACCTTGTAACTGTGGCTCAGGCTTAGAAGGGGATTTTTTCTTTGCTGTAGTCTCTTTCTTACCAGCACCAGTTATTACTACTGAAGACTTTCTGTGGAACAGTACTTATTGGCAGAGATGCATCTCCTTGATATTGAAACAAAAGGCAAATCAAACAATTGAAAGAGACATTCTCATAAGACAACCTGTGTGTGCTGAGAGGCAGAGAAAAGATCACATTTTATTGGGTTTTGTCCCCCTGAAATTATATTTTGTAGGTATTTTTCTCTCCTAACGCAGCACTTGGCACATGCTCCTGCTATCAAAAGCTGCTTCTTAAAGTGATGATCCCAAATCAGTACTGACCTAGCTGCTAGAGCAAATTATAGCATAGTATACACCACAAAACAGAGAGCTCTTTAAATACACATTTTTCTAACCAGATAGCTCCTGTGCAATACAGCTGTGTCAACAACCTGGCACAAGCCAATTACTGCTGATGTACTATGTAAGAAATCCTAGGAAACAGGTATCTGAGAGAGGGGTAGTAGTTATACTAACAAAAATGATGCTAGTATCTTGAGATACCTAATGCTCCTTAGAAGGTTTTTTTGCTGGAAGCATAAATGGGAGTTTGTGTCAAGATTTTAATGGATACTGATAACCCTCTGGGGTTTGTTCTGTGCAATCTGGGCTTGTCATGGCTATGGAAATGATGTGTTACTGTTGAAATACTGTATTAATGCTTGATGGGGAAATAAAAGATTATTAGGTGATTCTAGAAGGAAGGGTAAAGGACATTTAAGGAAAAGTATTTCCTTCAAAGAGAAGAGCCTGTAGATTTTTATATTCTTGGAAAGACCAAACATAATGGATCAAAGAAGCAGGAAGTTTGGAAATGCAATACTAAAAACTTGTAATAAACACAAGATGTGTTTTGAGCTGTTTGGTCCTTTTCTCAAGCATTTGAACAAACTGTTGACAATATTTTTATCTCCACATACCTTTACCTCACAATGGTTGCAGTATTTATATGCATGATAACTTTTCCTTTGTTAGATTATCTAATGAGAAACACTTAGACACAACATAAGGGCATAAAAAGTAGTTAATAAAAGACAATTATGAGCAATAAAATACCAGATTCTAACATATTTGAGTTCCATATATAGAAAAAAATTCTGTAGCATATGGAGTTGCTGGGGGGTTTAGCATCCTACATAACAAACTTTTAATGACCTCAGCTAAATACCAGTGTCCAGCTAAGTACTAGCAGGCCAGGTAGTGCAACCCTGCTAGTAAGAGTTCAAGCAATGGCCATCGAGAATACAAAGACAGAAGTACGGGTATGCTGTGGAGAATAGCATGCTGTGTATGACACCAGAAAGAGACAGAGGGACACTCAGTTGCCTGCTCCTTTTACTCACCTACTATTTGGTAGCCAGATACATCTCTTTCTCACAAGCCCATGAAAACAGGTACCTTCCTGTAAAAGACAAGATAAAGTCAGATTCAGTGTATCTAGAGAGCACACTTTTATAAAGATAGTAGCCTTACAAAGTAACTTTATGCTTACACGCTGTGTTTTCTTTCTAGAGCGACATTTTGTTCTCAAAGCATTGACAACCTTCACCTTTATCCAGCACAAGAAAAAACATTTGTGAGATGTGAAGATCGCTTTCAGGGGCAAAACAGAAAATGAGCAAGAACACAAAAATCAACAACTCACCAAGACATATTCAAAATAATACACATCTAGCAAAATGTTAAAAAAACCCCACAGCTACACTGCATCTAAATATCCTGCTAGTTTCAGAGGTGGTGAAGAAAATATACTGAAAATTTAGATTTTGTGATGCAATAGTAAACTGAAATAGTGCTTTGTCCATCTAGAAACCTACTCTCAAAGAGATCAATGAGTGATTTCAAGGCAACTCTCAATTTTAAATTGTTTAAAGTTTTAGAGAAACAGCCGCTCACTAGGAATGAAAGAATTGCTCTTGGAAAGAATCATCTCCATAAGCTTTGGAAAATGATATTTTGTTCAATTTAAGGGGGGAGGGGGAAGCCTCATTTCCCATTAAATACTTTGAAACATTAATAGCTACTATTATCAATTAAAATTTTCTTGCCTTATTTCCTCATCAAGGGGGAATTCATTAATTCATAGAAGGAAATATTCCCAAATAGATAAAATTGTTCACAAAGAGGTTGAGATTTTTACTGTGTAACATTCCAAAACTAAAATGCGTCTCAACATACAACGCTTGAGGTATTGTTCAGAACCATATGACCCTAAAAATACTTTGTTGTTTAACCATTTTAAAGTACTGATTTAAATTACTAGTAATTGAATTATTTTATTGATGCTTATTATACTACACACAGTTCTAGTACAACTAAGTTAACTTTTGCTTTAAAATCATACTTTTGTGAGCAGGTAATGCCTGGAGATTTTTAGATTTTAAATACTGTTTATCAGATTTTTAGCATGATTTGGAACTACATTAATAAATGAAAATTGTAAAACCTTCAGACATCTTCAGTGCATGATCTTATAAATTCAGACATACAGTTCCCTTGTTTCTTATGTCAGAATAGAAACTACATAAGCATTATTTTCTCAGATTATTTTTGTGGTTAGTGCATACTGAAATGTTTGTATGTCAAAGTATTTAATTTGTCACTTTGTAATGCTAGGCACAAGATTCATTAAAAATTATGTTTCTACAGCTCTGTGCTCTGAATGTAATTAGTTTTGAATGTTCTCTAAATGGTAAAATATGTGCGAGAGAGTTCTTGGGCCTGGAGCAAGCATAGTTTCCATTCCAAGATATTGCAGGGAATTCTGAATCAAAATATATCAATGTTCTCAGAATGCAAGTGAGATTTATTCAAAAAGCACAACAAATGAACAAGTTGAGCAGAGTGAGCAATCCTGCAAACGACAAACAGCGATCAAATGATGAATGCATCTTTGCCAACCATTCAGAATACTAGCTTTTAACTTTTGAAAGCTGTTTTCAGTAATTACTATTCCTGAACCAAAAACGCTGACCAAATACGATAGGAACTGAAGATACTTTTCAGATAAGAATGGCTGTCCTTACAGAGGTATACATTTCAGAAGCTAACCTAATATTTAAGATGGCCACTTGGAGTAGATCCTTGATTAGGAGAGATATTTATAGATTTTGATGCAAATTCTATATAAAAGAACCTGTAGGTCTGCACTGAAAGTTTCTGCTTTAAAAGATTTTGCTAAAAAAAGAAATAAATACAAAAAGCATTTCTGCCTTCTTTGTCAAAGTTAAAATGGATTAATTCAAAACTTCAGGTTGGTACCCCAATACTTAGATTTCCTGACACAATTATTTTATTAAAGCTCTGTACAATGTTCTGTGCTTACATATAAACTGTTCACTTAAATACAGTAGCTGAAAGTCCAATCAGGAGTGCACGCAGAAAGAGAACATTTCAGCAACACCATATGCTCTAATCCACTGGAGACACTTAATTGTTGACACCCAGTGACAGCAGTTTTAGGTGCATAAATTTAAAATGGACTGTGTCCTGAAGAACGACACACAAGGAACAAATGATGATGTGGCCATTTTAGTGTTGAAAGCTCAATGTAAAACGAGACTGAAAAGCATGTGCGTGGCTAACTCAAATTAATGCGTCTCCCTAGATGGTTTCTAGAATTCAGTTTTTGCTTTTAGAAAAAGCTAGATCTGCCACTCTTACTTCTCATGTTACAGGTTGGGTTGTTTATAAAAGATGTGTCTATTTACAGAATTGAAATACTGTCACTTGAATTTTATCTACACCATTCATTAAGCTATGAACTCTGTAAGCTTCCAGAACCACATCCTACCCCACTCTTCAACAGGCCTTGTCAGAAGATCCTGAAAGATGACACAGCAAGAGACAAAGCCCAGAAAAAACTGGACTGTGCTCCTCCAGTGCAGAAAAAATGTTAGTGCTTCACTATACCTGAAAAAAAAAGAAAAAAAAAAGAGCACAAAAGTTGGCAAGACAGATTTTAATGAGATTTGTATCATGTAAAACATTCAAAGAGCCTTTCGAGTCATGCTTTTCCTGTAGTTACACATCCTAACACACTTAACATTTTAGACATTAAATTGGCATTTCTTTCACCTTAGTTATCTCTTCTGTGGTGAAAAGGCTGATAAAGGGATCTAAACTTCAGGAGAAGCAAGCTTGCAAGCGCTAGTTCAGGAAAAGCAGGTGACAAAAAAGAGGTATCTACAGGGTGCTGAAACTTAGGGAATGGGATACTGCAGTTTGAGGGCTTCTGAAGATTTTGAGGTGGGAGGGAGGGATGGGTGGGAAGAATTGCTCTCCAGTTCAGCTGACTGGTATATCCTCAAATAAGGCAACTTGAGAACTTCCATAAATCAAATAGGAAAATTAAAAGAACATTCAGTATTTGATCTCTTGCTGATATGAAGATACTTACTCTGATGTCTTCTGCAGAAATATGTCCAAATAAATCCTGTCCGTGTTTTGACAGCCATTACACTGATTTCTGATATAAAAATTAAATGAAGCACAGGTTGTTGCATAGTCAATCTTACAATGCCTGCACATAAAACTGTAGTTACATGTACAATCACAAGTGCCTATAGTGGTGCCTTAATTTGTGCTCATTGGAATTACTCCTGTGTTACTCCAAACAAAAAAGCCATCAGGAACCTGCTCCTGTCAGAGCAAGCAGAGCTTAGAATGACACAATGAATGCTGTTCTTTGCATCACCTCTCTGTAATAAAGGACTTCCATATTCAGAAGTAAAAATTCCTTCTTTCCTTTTTGTGTGCTTTTCCCAAATATTGGAACATCGAAGGCAAGCGGTATCAGTGAAAGAGAGTCACTGAGAGAGTTTCATAGCTTAAGAGGAGTTTGATGCCCTTCTCACACCCACACCATTCTGACTATACATGCTTCTACACCAAAGGTGAATGTATACATTTAATAACTAAAGCATTAAGAAATGCAGCAGGAATAAACACATAGCTACAACTAGTGATTCTTAGGTCAAATATTAGTTAGAAAAATTACAGCTGTTTATGTACCCCTTTATTTCCCCAAGCACATTTGAAGATAGACACAAAACCTGTATTTTAGATGTCTGGGCACTATTTCTACCCTTCTGGTTTGTGTTCCTAGATAGAAATGTAACTGTAACCACCACCAAACCTATTAGGCACCTATGATGCTGATTCGCAGAAGGGCTCTGCTCCAACTGATTTTCTTCTAATACCTTTGACCCTGATGGTGCTATTTAGCTACAAGGGAAAGCACTTTGATATAAAAAAAAACAGCCATGGGAAAAAAAATCAGAAGGTACTGTGAGGAAGGAACTCTGCATGTGCTTTGATTACATCAAAGCAAATGCTGCTCAGTTAGGGAAACAGATGTCTAAGGACGCCATTCTCAACAAACAGCCCTAAGAATGAGCCTAGCTGGCAGGACTTGACTTTGAAAAGCAGCCTTATTCATGGAATCAACTATACAGCACACCCAACAAATACAGACACCCAGCTTACTGGTTTTAAAGCACCTTGCAAAAAGCTAATTCACTTCTAAAAGTGTTATCCATCAGTTGTGCATTCAGAGTATTATGTGTTAACTCCAGTATTGCTCTTCAAACACATCTATTTATTTCAGAAGGTATCATTCAGTAGTAATGCAGCCAGGCCTGAATACCCCACTAGTAACTAATTTCCATTTTGAAAATAAGAACAGAGAAAGCTTTTGTTCCGTGATCATACAAGTAACTGAAAGGTAATTTTAGGGCTTTTCCTTAAAAAGGTTACACAAAACCATTCACTCGTACATGTTAAATTTGGGAGGTGCACTTGGATAGTGTAAAGACTACCCAGTTACTTTTTGGCATGACAGCCCGTTTCCATGAAAAACCAAAACTTAAATAGATATAATCTTTTTGGTTTCAGGGTTCAGAAAGTAAATGGATCTTCAGAAGATGATTTCATCAAGTCTATTTATTAATGCATTTCAAGTTTCAAAAAACCTTACATATCTTTGCACAATACTTTATTTTTTGCATTTTTAGTAAAAATTTCCAAAGTGAACAAAAAAGATACTGTATAAAACACAGTGGACATGAAATTGACAGTAGTATTCCATTTCATTGTCTTGAACTTTCGGTTTTACCACATCTTGACTTGCAGTGGAGAGTTCAGTGCACATTTCTGTTTTCAGAAAACATTTAACTTAGACTGAAACTAAAATACGGCAGCATTTGTCTGCCAAAATCCTACCACAGGATAACATTACAGGCAAAAAATTTACATGTTCCAAAGTCTATCACACTCAAGAAGTTACTAAGAACTCTTGCTGAATAAAAGTCACCATTTTAGAAATGCAAACCCACTTCCAATCTTTGCACAGTCTTAAAACATATGTATTTAAAATGACTTAAAAGCAACTACACACACTTCTAACTAGTTAAGATCATTTAGAATTATTTATATAGTCTATTGGACTTGGGGTTTCATGTACAAAATTTGTCTCTAAACCATGTACAAAAAGCTGTATTTTGAAAAAGTTACCACATACTGTACAAGTTTACAAGGAAGAGATCCCATTATATTCTGTTAACATTTTTGGCCTTGCTGGCTTGCGTCACATTATGAGAATGATTGTGTAAACCTTATACTCTTAAAAAAACAAAACAAAACAAAAACAAACAAAGGAAGCCTGTCCAACCCTTAGTAAATTCTCTCCTAAGCAAAGCCAGGAAAATTATAGCCATTTGCATCTCTAATTAGCTTGGTGCTTTTGGAAAACAAGCAATAAATATATCACAAGCTTAAACACTTTGTAATGCCCCCTTTCATCTCCTGCATAGCAGTAAGCACCTTAAGACACCTTTTGTTTCCTCTTTCAAAAATGCCAATTATTTACATTCGTCATAAAAAACTTTGGAATGGGACATTGTGCTGTTGAACTTCACTACTGGTATAAAACTGTGGAAAAACTGGTATTCCTAACTACAATTTGAATGCTGC